TATTGTTTTTAACTTTTTACTGACTAATGCTAAATGTATTAAATCCCCGCAAACATTTCAGTTTTAGGTATAAATAATGATCCATTGATTATTCCTTGCTGACCGGACTTTTCCTTTAAAACCTGACATGGTCTGAAACTACAGTAGGTTGATTTCTTTTTGTCCTCCATTCATTCATGCTCTGGTATGTTTGTGTATAAGAGCTGAAAAAACTCCCCAGGTGTGTTAAAGGTAACGAGACGAAGGTTTACCAGAGAAGATCTTGCCCGTGCTCCCAGCCATAGAGACGAGGTACTGGACCAGATGCTGACAGTTGGTGGTTTTACCGCTACCAGACTTGCCAAGCAGCACAACGGACTGATCCTGCTGGGTGGTGAGCAGGTTGCGGTAGGCTGACTGGGCCACAGCGTAGATGTGAGGGGCGGTGTCTTCCCGTCTGCAGCCTTTAAACATGTGCATGACCTGTTTCAGGCAGGAATCCCCAGAAGAATGATGTAATCAGACGTTTGGACCAAACGAGTTAAAGTACAACATGTTCAGCTAAAAATGAATGTAGGCTGAGATAAACAGCAGTCTTCACTCACCTTCTCAGAATACATTGAAGGTGTGCTGAGCGGGTTGATAACGACCATGTTGGGGCCAGCGAAGGAATGAATGAGGTTTCCTCCATAGCGCTGCCTCAAGCAGTGAATCACACTGGATTCATTCAGGTAGACGAGTGAAGCAAGGTCCTCAGAACGGTCGTAAGTTGGAGGGTTGGCCTGCAAAGGGACAAAAAGCTTAGAGCCATGCATCCACAGCCTCAGGGACTGAGGATTTCCTTTTTATTTTATTAGCATTGCTGAAGGAATATTTGAAGATTCATTAGAAAAGTGGAAACACAAACATCTAAGACGGCGCCATGGATGGCTGCCTCGGTGTGTTGGTGCGGCCTCTTATGTTTTGTTTTTCAACTTAACTCTGGTTTTTGTGATGATAGCCGGACCTCTTTCACCAGAGAAGATCTAATGAACATCAGGGCAACACCACCGCCTGTGCGCTCGTACGTCTTCACCAGAACTAACGTACGTTCCCTGCCCAACAAACTGGACAAACTATGACTGATTCTGGGATAAGAAATAGGGACATCTCTTCATCTGTTGTTTTGTTGTTCATGGAGTCATGGCTGTGTGAATAAATACCGGATTCAGTGCTGCAGCTGGCAGGCATCCAACTCTACAGAGTTGACAGAGACACACCCCTCTCCGGCAAAGCGAAAGGTGGAGGAATCTGTTTTTACATCAACAGCAGCTAGGATCACGGATCTCCCAAGCCTTTTTGAACCCCGAGAGTTTGCTTCATTCATTCTGGTCCAAGCCCACATGGTACCACATGCAAACATGTACAACATATGCCCGCAGAGCAGATACTGAGCGCGGAGCGGAGCAATCCGGACTCTTTAGTTATTGCCCTTGGTGACTTTAAACAAAGGAAAATTCCTGAACTTCCTGAAAATAAACAGCTTATTAAATGCCTGAGCAGACAGGATAACATTCTGGATCACTGCTACACCACAGATTGGGGATGCTTATCACGCCGTCCCCAGTGCTGTACTGGGCCAATCCCACCACATCATCATGATTTGGCAGGCTCTGCAAACCTGTGGATTTTGAGGTCATGACGACAAAGCTGCGCGACGCAGGAGAAAGTACAACAAGGAAGATGGCAACAACTATTGAACAGTAGCATGCATTGCGGCAGCAACAGCAGTGGAGCGCTCCATTGACACTAAAAAGTTCTCTTTTCTGTTGCTTTTGTTCAATAAAACTAAGACCATTTAAAGCGAGAATATTATACTTTAAAGCATCACTATATGATCCATTTACCCATTTAATGCGTAATTAAAAAAACAATTTCTGAAGTTGAGAGGACCGTGTCAACCAGCGGACCTCCCAGGCTAACGGCAGCCAGGGCTAACCGCAGCCCGTCTGCAGCAGCCCTCTGTCAGCATAGTCTTGTGTGAAGGACCGCTGGCTCTGATGAGATTTTTGACCCAGCCTTGGAATCAGTTTTAAGGATTAGACTTGGGGTGTTCGTTGAAACGTGAGCAGGAAGAGGCTCTACGCTCATTCATTTTTAAGAAGGACGTATTTGCCGTCAACACTCCCCCATCAGCTTTCTGTCGCGGTTACTACGTCACAGTCAGTTGCGCTCATTGGTCAGAGCCTTGGACAATATGCACAGACATGGTTTGAAAAACAACGGGATGTTCTCATCAACAATCTTCCGATGTCTCATTCATCGGGGCCAGACTAAATTACACATTTAATCTCATATTTAGTCTGGTTTATCAGGCTAGCTTTGTGGTCCTTACCTTCTCAATGTCATCTTCATCCACATCCAGGATCGTTCCATCATGCTCCAGCTGGATTTTCACCTTTCCCTCTGGGTGTGAACCAGACTCTGTCTTCAGCACAGTGGCTGCAAATATAAAAGGCAGAAAACAAATATAAATATATATATATATATATTTAGTTCATTGATCTCAGGAAGTCCATTTTTGAATTAAACATTCTGTAAACCAATTCTATTCCTTATTTCTGTTCATTTTGATGATTTCTGCTTCTAGAAAATGTAAGCAGGATATTTGAGATTAGGATTTTGCCATATAATGGGGACTTAGTGTAAAAAGGCAATCTTCCAGGGTTTCAGAGAACCCAGAATTTTTTTGTAACTTCTGTTTAATACCTGCTTCAATGATATCATCTTCAACAGGGAGCCTTTAATCTGACAGATTTGAGCCACTTTAGATCACATGCTCCATGCTCTCCAGTCTGCATTTCGACTTCAGATTCCTCTAAAACGCTTCAAACACTAAAACTGCAGTAAATTGCATCCAGTCAGCTGAACATATCCGCAGAGTCAATATCTCCTGGTTTTTCTGCTAAAGAATAATAAAAAGCTTTTAAATTCCTCATTCACAGCAAAAATACGCATTTTCCTTTATGCTCTTTCAAATAACGGTAGAGTTTTTCTTAATAAATGTCCCCTCACTGCTTGCTCTGACTTTTTCATTTTATTTTTTAGCATTATGTGAATTTTCTATGTGCCTGAATAACCTCACTGAGGGAATATGAAGATTATTCAAATTCTATTCTAATCTATTCAAACATCAGACTGAAAACAAGACTCATCAGACTTTTGATACATACGGTTTCTGAAATGTTTTGCGTCTGACACCTTTTGCATAATTTAATGGTAAAAACTTTGCTAAAAATCCTATTGTACACAATCAGATATACCTGATAACAGAAGGCAGAAGACTACACAAAAAATTATCTTGACTTATTAATGATTTATTACTATGCGATATCAAAAATGTATTTCTGTTTTTTCTTTTTACATATTTTGTTAAAAGTCCAAATAAGGACTTCAAACCAAAAAAAAGTAATTTTCTGTTTTGTTCTATTCTTGGATCGGGCTTTAAAGGGTTAGGCTTCATCCCTTTCTATGTTCAATTCTCCTTTTCTTGAAGTCCAACCTGAGAGCACAGAGAAGATTGTAGGTAGACGCTATCAGAATTTCTCAAATGAAAACAACCCCAATCAATCACACTTTTATGTGAAGAACATGAACCATGCACTTTTCTTTACATAAAAGAGCAGAATAAACTAACCTGACTCCGCCAGATGGATATGCTGCGCAAATCCATCTGGAAACCTTCCGTTGAAGTAATTTTGGGAAGGGGCGAAAATACTGGTTAGCTGATTGGCCTATGTTGGTGATAGACGGGCCAAATAAACCAATCCGATCAACGAAGCATATGACGTACTAACAGCCAGGCTACGAAGAGGAGGCTACATTTGCCGAAACCAGTCGGGAAAAGAGCAAAAACATCTTTTCCTCTGAGAAAAGCCTCCAGAGCAGTGTTTTGCTCTACTTTCAGTTAAGAAATACTCTGTAATTCCGATAAAACTTGCTCGATAGATTTCATCGGCTGAAGCCGCCATTTGTTCTTTAGACTGAACTGTAGCGCTTTTCGTTGTGTCACACCTCAACCCGCCTCAAAGCCAACGCTGATTGGACGTTCGTTTGGTAACGGCTCCAAATTTTCTTAATCAGAGAGTCTCCAGACTAATTAGCGAGTGAAACCTTGAAAGCTCGCGAGATCAGGATGGTCTCACGAGGCTAAGAATAAACAACCTTAGCAGTCGATGACCCGGGGTTGGAAAAATCAGGCCAAACAAAGAACTGGAACAAGCAGAAGATTTTCCTGTGTTTTTTAATTAGTACAGTCAGTAACAATCGAACACAAAGCTAGCAGAAATGTTCAAAACAATTAATTATCCTGCACTAATTTAGGATGAAAAAAAAATTTAAAAAAACGTTCCTGACTCACCAAGAGAGAAACCGTCTTTGTGAACAAGCCAGACTTTCTCTGAGCCATACCAGGCCTGCTCCGCTGTTATCTGCTCCTCGGTCTTCACCTGAAAGCATAAAGAGTTCAGTTTTAACTCAGCAGGGACCAAAGCCAGTCATCGTTACACCAAAGGTTCTCAAGTCACCAGCAGCTCCACTGTGATACCAGTGCATGCTGGAAGGTTAAGTCAGTTTGCTGAATACTGGCTAGATGGGAGCGTTAGCTGGTGAGTGAGACTTCAGTCCCAGCACACTACTGGCTACAGATTAGAAACCTCCCTAACAAACCGTACATCACCTCAACCAGTGAGCACAAACAAGAACGCCTGTGAAGTAACACACAAGTCCAACGATAATGCAAATCACTCCAAGATAAGTGAATGAAACATGATGCATTTATGAATGTGAATTCACAAACAAGTGTTGCATTATGGCTAACAATGATCCACCAAACCGCTGTGGGCAGCATGCACTGTGCAGGCAGAGGGAAGGATAGAGCAGGGACGGCATGCCACAGTGGAGAGCAGGCCTTTCTAGCTCTGGTCTCTGCTCGTTTCCCATGTTTCCCTGCTGCAACACTTTTGATTAAAATCAGTAGCTGACTACAGGGATGCCCTGCAGACCAGAGCATTCAGTGTTTGAATCTGGTGTGTTCAAGTGGAGAAACATCTAAAACATGCACAACAGGACTGAGATTCATGAGATGACCAGCAGGGCCAGGCCGCGTTGGAGGGTTCTTAACTGCAACATGTGACGTCCGGAAAGGAGAAAACAGTTCCTCTTCCCCCGATTCCTGAAGATTTTGGCAGCATTAAGAAGTCAGAGTGAACAGTTATATATGGCCAACACGACGTACACACAACCACAGACAGGAGAAAGCATTGACAGCATGACCTGATAAAGCCATGATCCTACAGCACAGATGCAAAGTGAAAAAAGTTGCCTTAAGTTGGTTAAAACGGACAGGAATGAGTAATATAGCACAAACCTGAACAAGTTAGATAACAGACAGATGGATAAATATGCAGGGCGATATTTCGTCCTGTATCGGGGTCGGCCAAAATGTGCATAAGTTCACCGTTTCATTAGTGTGTTCAGCAGCCATGCCTTCAGATCAGGGAAAGCTCATACTCTGTTTACTCCTCCATTTACTTTCCATTACTGTTTTGTTTGAGTTGTCGACAAATGTTTCTTTTTTTAAATCAGCAAAATAATCAATAGACTGTATCAGGAGCGAGTACACTGAAATCAAAATAATTTGTTTAAGCATAAAAATTCTGTATCATTATATGTTAATTCAGGGGCGAATTTAGGATATTTGGGGCCCTAGGCAAAGACAGGCAGGGGGGCCCCTCTGAATTAGAAGACAACACATAAAACAGACCCATTCTACAGATAGA